CAACGGACTTGATGACACCACTACTGGAGAAGGTATGAAAAGAGGGCAAGATACTTGCTGATTGTAGGAATGAAAGTCAATGCAGGAGCTGGCGTGGCATTATGCTCCTGTCTATCCCAAACAAAGTACTAAGCCGCGTCGTCCTGGAGAGAATCGACCGGAACAGGCTGGATTCAAGGGAAACATGTCATGCATTAATCAAATCGTCGCTCTATGGATCATCATTGAACAGAGCTTGGAATAATAGTCACCTCTCTATCTCAACTTCGTCGACCTTGAGAAGGCCCTCGACAGTGTCTGTTGAGAGGTGATTAGGCAACTACTTAGCTGCTACGGGGTGACGCCGACAATTTTACAACTCATCCAGCAGTTGTACGATAATGCTGCGTGCCAAGTAATTCACAACGAGAAACTCATGAAATCCTTCGAAGTGAAAACGGGAGTAAGACAAGGCTGCCTTTTATCTACAATGGTTTTCCTGATTGCGGTAGACTGGATGATGCGACAGACAGCAGGCAACCAGGAGACAGGCATACACAAACAACTTGGAGGATATATATCTGATGATATCTGTCTGATTTCCCACAAACTGGAGGATATGAAAGTGAAAAGCAACAGGTTCTCAGAAGAAGCATCCAGAGAAGATAGGACTTCAGGTGAACATAGAGAAAACAGAGGCGATGAAGGTTCCTGGCCAATAGAAACAGCAGCAACAACAGACAACAATCAGCATACATGGGAGAAATCTGAAAGAAGCAACCTCCTTTACCTACCGACCTGGGGAGCATTGTTTTAACTACAGGCGGATGGAACTGACGAGGATATCAAAGCGAGGATTGGGAAAGCAAGGCAAGCTTTTATTTCTCTCAAGTTTGTGTGGAGGTCAACAACAATCAGCATGAAAAATAAGCTCGGGATTTTCCACTCCACTGCGAAGTCAGTGCTACTTTACGGATCAGAGACTTGGCGCGTCACGAAGGGTAATTTGAACAAACTACCGACCTTCGTCAACAGTTGTCTTCGCTCAATAATTCGTTCAGGATCAGATGGCCCGCCAGAAAAGATCAGCAATAGTGAGGGATTTCTGGAAGCGAACCAACCAGGAACCAACTGTGCAACAGATATGCAGGAAGAAATCGAGGTGGATTGGCCATATTCTGATAGAACCATCAAGTGACATCACACGACAGGCCATAGCTCGAGTTGAACCCGAACGAGAAATGACGAGTTGACCGTCCAAGGGTGACTTGGAGGAGGTCGTGTGAAGTGGAGATGAAAGCATGTGGGGAGACGTGGAGCCAGGTGAAAACGTTGGCAGGGAACCGAACGCAATGGAGACATGCAACTGAAATCCTTTTTTCATCTAAGAACTAAAGGAGACAACGATATCTGACGTTATGTTCTGAGGTCTCTTTTACCTGCCTCGTGCCTGTTCTGCTTCAGTTGCCAGCCAGTATGTCGTGAAATTGTCTTTTGTCTTTCTTTGCACTCTTCTTCCCTTCTTTATTCAGTGCAGTGTGCACTCCTTTGTATTGAGTCATCCACACTATCTTCATTCTCCTCTCCTCTCTTCTATTAGCTTCCAGGTATATATCCGTTTAGAGCCATTCCATGTCTTGTCTGTTCTTTCTTCCTAGAACAGTTGTACACGTTTCCTTGAAAATCACCTCCGGGGAGTTAGTTCCAACGTTCTTCCACACAGGTTTCCTCAGTGATGTCACGTAGTGTCGCTGACTTTGCTCTGATATCCGTAGTGAAGGTATCATTTGCTGTTGCATCTATCAATTTCTGAATGTTGAACTTGAATTGTGGTCTGTCTCCAGTTGTTTTTTAGGAACTTCATCTTCACCTTGAAGGTTCCTTGAACTAAGTGATGGTCTGAGCCCACATCTGCTCCCTTTCTCGACTTTGTGTCCCACAGGGTGCGTCTCCACTTCCGTGAGCAGCATTGAGATGCAATCTATCTGGTTTGTGGTGTGTCCGTCAGAAGAAATCCATGTGTTTGTACACGCTAACTCCGATCACCAAATCATTAAATGCCCAGAAGTCTGCGAAGAGTTCTTCATTGTCATACACTTCTCGGAGAGCCTCTCGACCCAATATGAGTTCTCTTCCTATATTTGTCTACCCTCAGTTTCGCTTGCACGCATATCGTCCTTAAGGATTTTGGTGTGTATATTTGAGATGTGGTTCATCACTATTTTCACTTGACCATAGAAATCTTCCTTCTTCTCTTGTTCCACTTTTTTATAGCACTTTGCGGGATTAAGTCTGGCGGTCATTATCCTGCGGGAGATTGGTTCCCACCGCATTAGAGCCTTGGCTGCTTTGGTGACATCATGATAGCCACTTCTTCAACAAGCTGATGGTTGTCGTCTGGGTGACCAGACTGGATTAGATTGCTGGCTCCGTAGTTGACAATTTTGGTAGCCCGCATCCATTCCACATGCTCTCACAGATTCCGAGCACTTCTATACCATATCTCATTTTGTTGGCTTCCTGGGCAGCCCTACCAGCTTAGTACATTTTACGAACATTCCACGTCCTCATTCTTATTCTTGCTTTCATCGAATGGAGACACATTGGCTGACTGACTGGTTTCTCGAAGGCTTTTATCAGCCCACTGTGTCATTTCATTCCAGCGAAAAATGAGATTTTTTGTATTTTTAACATTTTCTTGTGCGTTGAAATTTGGTTAACAGTCTGGCTGATCTTGCGGAGTAGGGTCACTAGCCCCATGTTCAACCTTTCCTCTTTTCCCTGGCTAGAAAACTAGAGAGCTTGTTTATCATTATTCCCTTAATTAAATTCATATGATGTTATTGGAAGACGGAGATTATCTGAAAAATGTCATGTATTTGCGCAATGCATTTTTAACAACTTGATCACGCATTTAATTATTAACTCAGCAACTTTTAAAAACCATAACAAGGGATTCAGGAATAAGAATAATTAACATTACATTCGGTAATCTAATCAGGAAAGGAATACCACGTTAGGTAACTGTAAAAGAGTTAGTCATACGCAACTGATATGATTATGAACAGCAAATTGTGTTCGAAACGTTATTTAGTTATAATTACTGTGTTAGTGCATTACATCAAATAAACTTAGCCAATACGGAGCTAATTTTCTTCGCCTTACTGAATTTTACTTCGTTCATTATCGGAAACTAAAAACTTATTACTGGACTGTGGGCGAAAGCATGCAGAATAATAAAATCACAAGGTTTTCAGTGTAATAGAGTGAACTAAATCGCTTAATGATGATAAATATACTATTCACTGTACTCAAACTGTATTTGATCAATAAGTCTTAAGTCTAATTATTGAACATTAGTAAGTAATTACAAATTTAAAGAAATCTGCTCTGCAGAAGAGAAAACGACTAATCCTTTAGAAAATACATTATTTTTTTTATATAAATTTGAAGCACATGAAAACATTATATATGTCCAAACCAAGTTCACTTTTAACGGTTTGAAAAAATTTTGGCATTGGGTATATGATATTTATTATTATTTTTTCCTTCACGTTCCCCAGTGGAACATAGGCCTTCAATCTAGTGGCTTGAAGTTTCTGTAGCAGTGTTTATTTTACAGGATGGGGTTGCTAGCCTCATGCCCCTTTACCAGCATTATTTATGGCTTAGCGAGGTAAAGGAGTGCGTCGGCCGGGGAACGAACCCCGGACCATGTGCATGGTCGGCGAGCGTCCTAACCGCTATGACACCGACGCGATATTTATTATAATAAAGATTTTTGTATTTCCCAATATCGTTTTGTTTTTCATTCATTAGGAAATACGAAAACCTTTATTATAATGAACACATGAAAGCATAATAAGCAAATTGTTGAGTACTTCATTGTGATTAGTCCGATGTAAAATGAATGATCCCGTAAGATTACTGTAAACGCAGATTATAATGCAAAGCTCAGATGATAGAAGTCACGATTCTGGATTACCATTTTCACCCGTTTCTGTCAGATTGGAACTGTATATTTCTTATGAATTCTTATTATTTCAACGAAAAGGAAAATGCTTTTATTGTGGGTAACATGTTTAAATTCCTAATTGTGGGAATTAAGAAAATCTACATTATGTGAACTGGCCTATTCAAATGAAGAAAAACACTTCTAAAAGATACATTCATACAATTATTTCCTTTATCTGTTTATGACATTTAGTAAGACTGAGTTAAGTAGAAGAGAGTGTTTGGAACAAGTGATTGTTTTAGGCGGTTGAAACACATTTTCTTCATCTTAATATTATTTTACACCCACGCAGTTATTTATGTTTAAAAATAGACAAAATATACCTGAAAATGATTGGTTCCAGAATGGATTACTTCCATTTTTTAGAATACCATTTGAGTTATGCAAATTTCCATAAATCAGACTGATATTTAATCTGTTTCAAATTAAATAACGCGACATCTTCGCTTCAGTACACTTGGAGTTTACACAATAATGGGTTTAACTTCACTGGTTTATCAGCTCATAAACTGCTGAATCTTGTAAGTATGAATTTTAACTGTTACTACCTTGATTTATTAGGGTATACATAAATGCTTGGAAGATGGAGTAGAAAAACGGACTAACTGAAACACATAATTATCAGTATTGTGCATTTCGAATAAATTAGTCATACCACATCAGTGTAATCATGCCAAAATTGACAAAATACTATTGATTTCTGTTTTTATACCAAGGAAAATGTGTAAGATGAAGGGCCAAAGTAAGCAACCTGCTGGACATCATAAATAGATGGATGAATGCTATACAACGTGTACTACAAAGTGGCAAAAACAATAACCAGTAGTATGTGTTCAAAAGCAGGTATTTAGCTAGTACGATGTGAGAGTAGTATCTCAGAAAAACACTATAATTTAGTGTTCACTATTTATAAACTACTTTGCCTGTTACTGCCAGCTGACGGAGCAAGCAATAATAATATTAATAATAGGAGTTTTGTTTGTAATTATTTTGTATCATACACTAAATGAAATGTAACATAACATCAAGTAAATTACAGTTTCCATCAAACAGAACCGAATACGACACAGGAAGTCAATGTTCAACACTATTTGATTTTTATTTTACAAAAGGTATATGCATACTCTACACTTTATTTATTCTTATCAAAATATTATAGATTTCGCATCATCTAAACGGGACTGTAAATGTCTAAGTGTTTACCACCTATCGTCTAATTATCCTTCATAATGGCTTATTGAAACACTAGAGACAATGTGGTTTCACTTGTAAGATGTCCAAACATAATGACTTCATTGTTGACGGTCTATACCTAGGCTCCTTGATTTTTTTTATTCACTAAATGATGTCAGTTCTTGAAAAGGATATATTGTTTTTCGTTAGCAGTATATTACAAAATGTAAATGTATTTTCTACATTGTACGATAAATTGTTGCACTGGATCCTGTTACATTTAAAGCGCCTAAGGTTATGTTAAGTCACTGTAGACTATTTAGTGCCCTAAATAGTGTCGGTCAGTGACAAAATCTAATTATCAGTCTATCAGATGTCCAACTTGCATTTCTAATTAATGACTAAATTCCAGTAATAAATAATTTTTGAAGGAATGGATGTTATGCTTCTTCTATGTCATACATTATTATTAATTATCATATTTACTTTACTCTTATAATTAATTTCATTATTGAAAACTGCCTTCTGACTCTCTTTCAGAGAACAAACATTGCGCAATGGATTCCCATGACTTTACATACTGGGGTAGACGAATGATTGATTTTATAACACACTATCTACAAAATATTCATAAATATTCCGTCGTACCAAATGTAGAACCGGGTTATTTAAGACACCTATTGCCAGATCAACCACCTGAACAACCAGAACTGTGGGCTGATATATTTGACGATGTTGAAAAGTATATTTTACCTGGGGTAAGTTATCATAAATACTCATTATGAATTTGCCTTACTGACTTCAATTCACTTGAGTTACTCAAAAATTTCTACCATTTAACTAATTTCGAATGACTGATATGCCATAAGATAAATTTCTTTTGAACTGTCACCCTCACTAGCTTAACTTTTAACAGTACTCACATATTTCTGTGTTAAAGTATCTCAGAGAAGTTCAAATTTCATTCATCAATGCAATTGTTTCCTAAAAGTAAGACAACCTTCGTCTCGAGATTATCAAGTAAAGTATGGGACTGATAATGAATCGACAAAAATTAGAGACAAATACTCCAAATATTTTGCAATACATATTATATAGACCTTCATAAAGATGAATACTTTATTGACTTTACTCTAGAGTGATGAGATATTCTCAGTCAAAAAATTTAGTTACACTCTGAAAATTGTTTGCGGTAATTTTCTGAATCGAATACTTAACATTATTGTACCAGAAATTTCTCTGCATATTAGCCTAATTCACTCTTTAAGATAATGTAAAATAGACTGATGCTGCAACAGGGCAATTGATTCATATTTTGAAATGAATGCTGTCCCGACACTGAAATTTTTCTAAGCTGCATATACTTTACCTTAAAAATACTAGTTACTTCTAAGCGCTGTCAGTAGCTTTGTGTTGTGAATGTGTAAGTGCTGAGAAATTCTTTTCATACATAGTGACGGTATAAATTATTGCTCCTCTCACACTTTCTAGCCCAATCATATCAAATATCTCCATAATGAGATTTCATACAATATATTAGATCTTTTTAGTGAAACAATTGCAAGAATAATGTTAACCTTTGGCAATGCTTCAGAAATCTTTATTTATCTAAGCATTTTTGCCTTGAAAAGTTGATGAATTCAGTATTATTCAAGTAATTAGATTCCATCCTGGATACTGATTCGGTGAAGAACTAAATTTACAGTATTTTGTCAACATGCTCTAGCTATAATGTAGAAAGAATTCAGGTAAATTTATTCTACACCAACTTCATGAGCTAATATTAAAAAACGGAATAGGCATAGAAAGCTGTCTGTATTTTACTAAATTAGAAAAGTGCTTAAAGCTTGTAGGAAGTTTCAGGTATCTAATATCATAAAAACAATCTCAGTTGGAGATACGATTAGTATAATAATAGGAAGTTCTATTTCTTACAGACTCAAAAGAAGATAATAGTTTAATAATAAGACAAAAGGTGTTTCAATAAATTATTTTGTCCAATCACTTAAGTAAGATGGCTAATATTTATGGACTTCTTACTTAGGAATATCTAAATGTGTTGTGGTGTGATACAGACAATGTGTTCCAATGGAATATTATTCTCACATATTCCCACAGTTCAATACGGCACTAGTAACAGAATACGATATATCTATTTGACCATTCTGTTTGTTGCCACAGTAGTATTGAACTGTGGGAACACTTTGTCTGTATCACACCACCACAAATGGACCAGATTTCGCTCAATTGAATGATCTATGCAGTCGGCATTTGTAACCTTGGTAGCATAGAAAAACATTGCACAGATAATTTATTTAAATCTTATGGAAAATATAAAAGTGCATCATACTAAGCAAATGTATCCTCGCACATAAGAGGTGGAGATAACTGGGGTTTAACTGTAACTTTTTGCTTGTATTTTATTTTCCAGTTTTGTGGATTGTTGTGCGCCTAAATTTGCTGAATTTGCAATTTGAGTTATACATTTTACTTATTCTGGTAGGCTAATTTTTCAGTAGTCGTCCAAATGGATCCTGACGGAAAGTTTCACCCTAAAAACGCAAAGAATGAGGGCAAACAACACATTCTCAACTGAATTTGCTTACATTTAGTGTTAATTTTAATGTTAGGCTTACAAATGAATATGATTTCACGACTTAACTATTTATCTTTTGCTTTGTTTTTCTTGATTCAAGCTATGTCACTGGCAGCATCCTCGATTTCATGCATATTTCCCTGCAGCCAATTCAATGCCATCGATCATGGCTGATATGTTGTCCACAGCACTAGGTTGCAATGGATTTTCATGGGTAAGGCAATCCTATTTTAGAATTTGTAAACATATGGTTAATTGATCGTATGGGCATGCCTTTTGTGGAAAATGTTTTTTAAGGAAGAAGCTAGGGATTTAATTTTAAAACAAATTCATTTGGAATCACTATAACATTTCAGACTCATTTGCATATCTGTTAGTATTCGGTGGTTGTAGACTACTCTTCAGTTGTCTGTTAAACACCAGTGAGTAATAGTCATCTGTAAAACAGTAAATCAAACAAGAAAACCTATTTCAGATTCCATCTGTGAGACCTATTAAACGCTTTAAAGTGGAGATTATATGAATAAATATGAGGGGGAATTCGTTCAGTGGTAACTGATCAAGAATGGAGCTATTATTCACCACAAGTAGACTTACTGATTCAGTTTTAAAACTAACTTTGAACGGTAAATTAAATTCCAACCAGATTAAAAATGATGTAGTTTCTGTGGTTCACATAGTCTAACATATGGGACAAAATGGACATTAAAATAAACGTCAAGTTAAAGCAGTTCAAATAATGTGTATCGGTGGCACAGTGGTAGAATGCTTGCCAACCACGCAGGTGGTCCGAGGTTAGATCCCTGGCCAACGCACTCCTTTACCTTGCTAAGCCAGTAAGACGACTGGTAAAGAGGGAAGGTTGGGCTGAGCATGAGGCTAGCAACCCCATCCCGTAGAAATAAACACCACTGTCACCGAAACTCCAACCCTCTAGCTTGAAGTCCTATGTTCTATTGGGAACGTAAAGAAAGAAAAACAGAAAATATTTCATATAATGAACTATCATTGTTAACTCAAACGGAATTTAAGAAGGACGGCTACTACTACTAATAATTTTTTAAACTTATTAAATCTCATAGGTGAGAATGTGAAAACATAGTTGAATGTATGTTCCAATTAGATTTTCAGTCTAAGATCAGGATGAATAGGCATATGTTCGAAGATTATTTTAAGGGTTTTGATTAACACGGCATGTAGTCTGGATGAAAAAGAATAAAACTAAGGATTAAAGAGAAAGAAAAGTGTAGCGTAAACTTACAAAGACAAAGAAAAGAGATCAGCTGTAAATATTCTTTTTATGAATGCACATTCAAGGTCTGAAGCTGTACACTGTCAGTGCATCTACGGCACATTAACCCCCTGCACATTTAGTTGCCGAATAAGCAGAAAGATGATTTCGAAGAAGATAGTCATCTTGCTGACACACTTATTTTTTACGGTTGTACATTCTTAAATATCTAGGTTAAGGTAAAGAATGTCTCAAATAGTTTTCTGGTTAGAGGACAGAGTTAATAGAAATATATGATAAGGTTATGAAATCTTGTTGTCTAGCATAAGAAACTTTAATAAGGTTGAAAAGACATTGAAAACGAACTGAGTAATAAGTTTGTAGTGAGCTGGGGAAAAATGAAATTTTAGAATAGACTTTCGAAGTTTTCTTTCTCCTTCTTTTTTTTTAGTGAAAAGCTAATGTTTAAAGCTAAAGAGTACCGACGATTTACCTGTCCATAAATGTCATATCCTCGTTTCTTAGGAGTAGTGTAAACTCACTCTGTAGAAGGTTTCGAAAGATGTTTCAAGTTATATGTTGTACCATAGAGTTACTGCTACCATATCATCAACTGAGTTGGTTAATCTTCACGAGAGTGTTTGAAATGTGGACGCATGATCAGGGAAATGTAATCAGCTCCAGTTGGGCAAGTAAACTCTAATGGAGCCCTTCGTACAGTGAAGAATCAGAAAATGACACAAAAGGTGGGTCAGTCAATAGACTAAAATATTTTGATGAGTATCTACAGCGATATCTCCACTGGATTTTACCTTTCCTGAGACATTTTTTCTGGTCTGTTCGTCGGTGGTTCAGCGACAGAGTGCTCTCCAGCCATGCACATAGTCCAAGGTTCAAATCACAGCTGGCATATTTCTTTACCTCCCCAAGTCGGTTGTTAGCCTACAAAGAGGGAAGGCTGGGAGTGAGGCTAGCAACCCCAAAGTCGTATAAACACCACTGCTACTAAAACTTCAAAGCTTAAGCCCCATGTTCTACTCAGAATGGAAAGGAATAAAATCAATAAATAATTAATAATCTGGTCTAAGAATGTCAACATTCTACATCATATTTTTAGGATAAATATTTTTTTTCCCAAATTTCCATTCTGTTGTTTTAGTATTCTCTAGGTTTTAAAAGCATTTTTGCTAAATATCGAAGGGTAGAAATCGACAGGCATCTTTCAGATACCACAAAAGTGGTTTAGTAAAAGGAGAGTGCAGACAGAAAAGTGGTGAAACACACACATACATTGATTACTTTTTTTAATTTAGAGTTTATTTTCACCTTGTTTTTCTTTTCAACAGGCTGCAAGTCCTGCAATTACTGAACTAGAAATTTTAATGTGTGACTGGATTGGAAAACTTTTAGTTCTGCCAGAAATGTTTTTGCACAGCAGTGGAATTGGAGGTGGTGTAATACAGGTGAGGATAAGAATTACTGTAATGAATGAAGCCAACTTCACGGATATTGTGTGTGTTTATATTCAGTGGCAGTTTACATACTCTGTTTTATTGTTGGATTTCTAGGGGACACTACTAGATTTGAGAATTAAGTGAAGCGACATTGTCTATTAATTCAAACTTCTCACGAGCTAAATAAGTTAAAGCTGACTGAACCAGAGATATCTAAAACCAACCAACCAGCCATATTTATTTATTCCTGTGGAACTGATATCTCAGTCGGATTAATTAAAAAGGCTTTTAAAAGCTTCATACAATTCTTCCCGTTAGTAAAATTGAATAAAGCAAGAGCGACATATGTACCAGGATAATACGATCCCATCGTTTACTGTTTCGAGGATTTTTTCTTAACTTCTTACAGTCTAAACAGTAGAAAAATATAAATTACAATGAAGATTTAAGCATACCCTTTTTGGTGATGACAAGAAGTAATTTATGGGAACTAAGAGTAGCATAAGTTCCGAATGATGTAAGTTGTTAAATTAGAGGTAAAACGATCGACTATTTATAGGATAATTAGTCCAACGATATTTCAAATACCATTCAAAGTTTTGGATAGAAACAAAGTTTAACTACAAAGAGTATAACAATATAATAGGTAGGTTACGTAACTACAGAAAATATGTTTTACAAAATAGCAGAACAGGAGTAGGGTGAATAACGTTCAGATGAAACAAATTTATTTTTCTTAAAACAGGACAGAAGATATAGGAGATTACATGACGTTGTAAAATTGCATACTTTGTTAACTAAGTTTAATCAACAATGTAGTACAGAATTCACTACTGTCTCTTTCGGTGTACATAGATTTGATTTTATTCGTTTTATGGAGACTGTCTTACTGTAGGGCTTTTAATACATTTTCCAGATCATCTGCTGATTAAACTAACCAAATAGCTAATACCATTGGAAAACCAGGAAGCAACGGATAGGGAATTGTATGAGCTTCGAATTCACGGGTCTCTGGATATCCACCTAATGTTTACAAGTTAGTGTCCTCAAAGAGTAACTTCAAGGCTCTGATTTCGACCCTTGGGTAAGGAAATATGTGTACACATTACTGGAAAATCTCCAATTAGAATAAAGCACTTGTCTAGTTCTCCTTAGTATTTAGTTTTCGATGAAATTGGCTTTGACATTTATTTTATTGATGCGTTTTTCAAGGTAATATTGTTACTTGAGTAAACGAAAAGTAGAGAAACACATCAACATTTAGTATATTACATCTAATACACCTCTTAATCTAAAAAATATAGTTGCTAGCTGTTCGAAGTACAAGAATTAGCACAACATTAATGTGTAGATAACCTGAGGAGTTCGGAGTGAAATCAGTTTAGTTTTCTCAGATGCTTGTGCATTAACTATTACTCTGACTTAAGATAAATAGCATGTTAAGAAAAAAAGGCGCGCATTTAAACATTGAAATTCCCGTTTTATTTGTGTTTTTAGCTGATCTTTTACCTTATGGCTTCATCAGATTATTTAATTCCACTCACTAAATGAATATCTGTCTTTAATTACTTCAATAAATTCAAGTATTGGTTTGTAGGGATTTGATTGATTGGCTACAAGATTTCATCATGAGCTGACATCAGTCAAAGGACCACTGGAAAACTTGGGAGTACTGAACAGCTGTTTTGTCATAGATTGGGACTCTTCAGCAGTACGCACCCACCGGGGTTCGAACCCATGACCTTCTGGTTAATGAATGTAAGCATCCAATGAATATTTTCTTCTAAATAATTTAAGGATCTATGTTTAATAGACAGTTAAGACAATGAAACATTAGTGTGATGCGAAGAAAACTAACTATACTGCAGATACAACCGGCCTATCACTTTGTCATGGGCACTGGGATATGTTTAGCAGGCGGATTTTAAATTACGTTTACTAAATATCTATGACAGTACATATTTTTGATGACCCAATTTATTTGTCGACTATAATCACTGTTGCTCACCTATTTGGAGGCTATTCGTAACTGAGTATTTCCCTGTGAGTAGTAAATATGGTAATATGCATGAAGTCGCTTTTTCAGCCCTTTAAAATATCGTTTTGATACAGTGTACAAAGTTTGGATAAATGTTTAGAGGAAATTATGATCAGTTTCCGTGCCCCTGTAATCAGCATCACGGACAGATATCTGTACTTAACAAATGAGATTCGTGGTGTGCTAAACATTGATTTATTTTTTATTTAGAGCACTCATGCAGAGTACACATAATGCTGGATACAACGTAGAATATAGACGTCTTAAGACAAACAGTTCACCAAGTAACTCCTGAGTTGATATTCAGTGGCTTATTGACATCAGCGTCTCTGAACTCTTAATATAGCGTCAATATAAACAATGAAGGTGATTACTGAGGAACTGTTTTCATTGTTTTTCTGTTCGTTTTAACAGACTAGAGTAGTTTTAATAGAGTAGACAAGTTTAAAATCGTCTTCCTAATAAGGCTCGTCAACATCCTTATGTCAATCACTTGCATAACCCCAGAAACTAAATAAGTTATGTGAAAAATTTAATTTATGTTAACGCTTGTCAAAACTACTTCTTTTTCAGTCTTCTGCAAGTGACTGTATATTAATATCAATGTTGGCTGCTCGTCACCAAGCAGTTGAACGTTATAAACATCTTTTTGAGGAGACAAATTTATCAGATTCGAAAATTGCTGTCCTATCACGACTTGTAGCCTACACTTCGAAATTAGTAAGTTTTGCGTTTTACTCTCAGTTTTTAAATAGATTTACAGGACTGCAGAAAAGCTGTCATAGTTAAAATATTTTGGTTAGATGGTCGTAAAACGTTGAAGTAACTATACTGAATGCGCAGAGAGATAATAGTTTATTCTTCCTATGTATTGGTAGTTGTCTTCAAAAGATTTCGTATGCTATATTTTATTATTCAAATTCCATTAGTTCAGGCTACCAAGTTTCTATAGTTTAATTTACGGTAATCATTAACTATAACTGTTGAGAGCAATACTGTATTCGTATAAATATATATAAGTGAATCAATTTACGAACTATTTCGTGTTTTTGCAGTCTATTGTTGACAGAACATCGTTAGCGTATTGTCTAACAAGTAGATAAAACATTTATTATAAACTACTGATTGTTTGATTCATTGACATGCATAGTTGGATAGCGTTGAGTATATCGATGATGAGGTCTGCCGCAGATGAGCAAAACGGTCATCCCTTGTTTAGATCACTCTGATCTGGTTAGTAAACACTACTGACTGATATGAGTGGAATTCAACCACTTGCATTAATCAATCAGTGACATATGGCATCATACATTTGTGCATGCTGTCTCGATTGCTATTTATGCTATCAAGCAGACCACATATTGTGACCTGAGCAATTTGCTTTTCAATAGAAACTATGGTTAAATTACACCTCGAAGTGTGTAAGTTAGAAATTTCTATACATTCAAACGTAAATATGTTTAAATCTTGTCTCTTTGCCAGCCTATTTAATTTTAAATTTTATTGACACAGTGGCAGCTAAATATAGATTGGGAGATACCTTATTCACAAACTGCTTGTGATCACACATCCTTGATATTCATAAAGAGACAAAGTAAAATGAAGTATCTGTTGTTTTCTTTTGCCTTTTTGTAAACAAGATAAATTTGTATACAAAGCAACGGAGAGATATTAAAATAACTATAAATTACAATATATAAGATAGAACAGTCAAAGAATTCCAACAAAAAGGAAAACAAAGTACATTCAATCAAAAACAAACAATTAGAAAACCATTGAAAACTATTTAGTTCCAGAGAGATTTCGTGTCTTACTTAAGGTCTCTTTAACAAACACCACCAACCTACAGATCAAGGCAGTAATCTGTGAAACGAGAGTGTTTTCCATTCAGTTGCTGATTTAGAATACGTATGCTAAGTAGCTAATGAATTCCAGCCTCTACCACACCACTACTATCACTTGTGAGTAAGTGTCCTCATACTCGAGATGGTGTTTAATATTAGTAATTAAGAGTTTGTGGTAGGCTGTTGGAGGCCATAGGCGATAAAATCTGGAACTAGGTTTCTTGCTTTACAGCACTCGTTAACAAGGCATATCCACAACCTTGAAGGAATCCACGTTCTTTTAGGATTTCAACCCGAGTCACCCGGTGTTGTAGTCATAGGCGTTACCGCCGAGCCCGAACAACTCAGGTCCTGAGTTTACTGTCGACTGTCTACAACCACTTAGCATCAGTTCAGAATGCACCTCGAGGGCGAGCTACTTTACTTGGTGACCACATCATAAATATAAGAATAAAACTTGTGCACTGTGGTAGAGTGTAATTCCATTATGGGTAAATTTTGTTTTGATAAAGTCTCACAGTGTTATACAGTAATGTTTACTGATGACGTTTCGAGCACAATTTATTGCTCATAATCATATCAAAGTACTCAGACGACTTCCTAACTTCATTTATATAGTTCCAATATTTTTCACTTGTGCTACTTAGCAATAAATAGCACAAGAAAAGACCATATAAGGAGGGGACATCTGAGACCCTACGTAGGATTCTAAATAAAGCAGGAATTAGGGTGGCATTGAAACCTACAGATTCACTCACGGACAAGCTGTGTAGGTTAAAGGACCCAGTTGACCCAATTAGACAAAATATCCTGCAATGACTGTGAGGTCAACTAGTAGATCGGGGGTAATCAGATTGTCGGAACATAAGAATTTAGCTAAGGTAAGAATGGTTGACCCCACCCGAGAAGATAAGTAATTTAGAAAAAAGCTCAGCGCTACATTGGACTGCATGCATTAACACACAACCACACAATAGGGTAGGAGAGGGTTAAAATTCTAAAAAGTAATCTAGGTAGGTGGAGAGAGAGGTTGATTACTGAATCCTTGTTCAACACATGCAATAGGAGTGATTCATCACTCATACCCGAAATATGGGAAATACTATTACCAATCAAATCAAGTGGAAATCAAAAGAAAAACAATGGAACTATATAAATGAATTTAGGAAGTCGTGTGATTACCTTGATATGATTATGAGCAATAAATTGTGCTCGAAACGTCATCAGTAAACATTACTGTATAACCCTGTGAGACTTTATCAAAACAAAATTTACCCATAATGGAACCACATCATAAAGTTTATTGATGGATTTAAGTTTGCAGCAAGGACTAAACTGATGACGCTGGTTATGCCATGGTGACCACTCAACGTGTTTAGGGGTTTAGTCCGAAGTTTAACAAGAAACATTTTTAGATTAATAAAAAATCTAATTGTAAATTTAGCTGCCTAATCCAAATCAACCCTTTTTTTTACATATTTCAGGCCCATTCAGCTGTCGAGAAAGCCAGTATTTTAAGTTTTGTTAAGCTGCGTCATTTGGAAGTGGATGAAGACTTTAGTCTTCAAGGTGAAACCTTGCAAAATGCTATTAAAGTAAGACACTTTTTATGAAAGACATTGCTGACTTCATGAGTTGATTAGTATTTATGTTTTCACTAAACTTCTAATTTACTAATATTAATTCATTTGTTTGGATTTTGAATTTCCAATAGCAGTGGTGTTATTTTACAGCCTGAGGTTACTAACCTTACGCTCAACCTTCTTTACCACGGGTTACTACTGGCTAGGCTAAGTTGTGTGTAGAGCGTTAGTCAGAAGTCGAATTTCAGACCACGTACGTGCTTGGCAAGCATTTTAGTATTACATAACCAACGCACTAAAATAACTAATATGAAGTCATTGATTAACTCAGTAGACTTTATAGGAAGCTGTTTAATTTCGAATAACTTGTTTAATGTTAAGCTAGTTAAATTCAGAGTCCGCAATTCTTTGCGGGGCAGCGACAAATGTGACGCCTGAATTGTTGCTCACAATACTTGAATATCAATGAGATGCTCACTGGCGACTGGCATTATTCAGATAGGTGGTTCTAGTGGGAAGTCGTGACCAATAGGCTGCAGCAGGTCGGGTGTGAGGACAAATTCTCGCCGAAGACATTGGCTAGTGGTTACGCTGTATCGTGAATTTGCAGAAGTTAGAATTCATAGGCCTTTGAATCGGGTCCCAGTGGCTTGTAACCAGAAGGTCATAGGTTCGAACCCCGGTGGGTGCGTACTGATGAAGAGTCCCGAACTAGGACGAAACAGCCGTCCAGTACTCCCAGGTTTTACAATGGTTCTTTGACTGATGTCAGCTCATGATGAAATCTTGTAACCAATCAACCAAATACCTACAAATCAGTACTTGAAAATTCTCATACTCAGCAGCTAACACTTACCCGGGCCGAGAATCTAACATATCAAAGACCTTAGCAATACATGCAAAAAAGCTAATTGAAAAGTTAAACATGAAAATAAACGTTTTTGCGAACTTCACCTATTCAGCCACTTTTTATGAAATAAAACCTACGTTGAACGTTACACTGATATACCATTGATAAGGGTTTAAACCGTTTATAATGCTTTGATATATCTTGCGCCTGTCTAAAAATTTAGGATAAGACAGCCTAACGCTTAAATTGGCTGTTGTGTTATCAGACTTTTCAGGGTATATCAGTCTGAAAATTTTGCAGCATCTCTTATCCACAAAGTAGATAGCCATACCAGACGAAGTCTTTGCAATCTACGTTCGTTCAGTGAAAATCTAACACAGAAGTTGGATAGACATTTCAGAAGCATATATTTTCATTTCAGAAGCTTGTGCTAAATAAAGAACAAAACATATATACCTATTTGATAAGAAGTCCTACTACAAAGGTGCATAACATTTCCTATTTTATTCAATTTTGAAATGTAAAGTGATTGTGATTTACATACTTCACATCTGTCATAAAACAGGAATCCGGTTCTCAGTTCTGTACAGCATAGGTTAAGCAATAAACAAGTCAAATAAGCACATTAATTTGATGATATTAGATGGTTGAAGGCAATCGGCAGGAAGCCTTGGACTACATGGGTGGCCACATTGCAAACCTGACTGATAAATTCAGTCTGCACCAAAGAAAGGACTAGAAACGTCACACTGGTTACTACTGTCCAATCAAAGTCAAATAAGCATCTGAATAAATGATATATCTAAGAAAGCTGAGTAGTAATAATTTCATATGTAAACGAAATAACATAATATTATGGTTTGACATCTTCATCTGTGACACCAGTTTCCTAGGGTAAATGAATTTCTTCTAAATACTAGATTCATTCTTTTCGGTGACCATTAACGCCTATGAAATTTGAATTCAAGGCTTTTTATTGGATAAACTTAAATACAGAATAAGATCCCATTTACAAAATACAGAAGAAGAAAAAAGCGATTTAATTTAGATGTGGGTTATTACTGGATAAAAATTATGATTCTAAATGCAAAAAAAGTGTAACCTTAAAACATTCTTAATATTATTATGAAGTAACTTAAAAACCAGGTGAATGTCGACTGATTTGTTATCCTTTATGCACCTTTTATCTACGACATTGACTTGGATTGACAAAAGGTGGAAGCACACTAGATCTCAATTTTTAGGCCATGATCAGCATGAATTTGTAACTATTATCATTCAAATGGAATTGGACGCGGCCAACCCGAAGAATAGCAACGACGGTGTGCAAACTCTCAAATGACCTTGAGGGTATATCATTCGCTGGATTACAGTACGCGTCATTATTACAGAGCCAGTGTGAACATTGTGAACAAGTTGGTTTACGAATTTCATCTTGATTTCGTTTTGAAGTGCTGTTTGGGCAAAAGGTTAATAGTACGTTAGAGTCAGAGCTTTTTATTATTTCCGAGAAGTAGTTTGTAGGGATTCTGTTTGTTGTAAGTTAGACCATGGGTTGACATCATTTAAAGGACGGTTGAAAACCAGGGAGTACTGGACAGCTGTTTCGTCCTAGCTCGGGACTTATCATCAGTACACACCCACTAGGTTTCGAACTCAGGACCTTTGATAACAAGGCAAGGTCGTATACCATTCAGACACTGGGGCCCGATTCAACTGCTCATAAATTCTAACTTCTACCAATTCGTGGTTTTTGTGTGACCACTAACCAATGCCATCGGCAGGAACGCCATCCTCACTCCTTACTGGATGGATGTATTTTCCTTGTAAATAAATTTGAAGCAGGAGAATACTTCATTGTTTACATAGATGAAACCGTTTCGGTAGTTATGAAACTTGAAATCCGACAACCCTCATTGTAACTGGAAACTACTTTTCAGATTAACGGCTTTTGGATATACAATGCACCGTGCATTCTCTAATGTAACGTAAAGTATACGCTCAAGGTCACCGGTGCGTTCACACTCCCTGGTCGCTATTCTTTATGTTAACCGTGATTGTTTATTAGTAGAAAGTTGTATATATACATTTTATATTTTTCCTCCACGTTCCTCAGTGGAACATTGGCCTTCAAGCTAGTGGCTTGAAGTTTCTGTAGCAGTGTGTATTTTGTACAGGATGGGGTTGCTAGCCTCATGCCCAACCTTTCCTCTTTACTAGCATTATTTCTGGCTTAGCGAGGTAAAGGAATGCGTCCGCCGAGAATCGAACCCCGGACCACGTGCATGGTAGGCGAGCGTTCTAACCTCTATGCCACCGACGCACAGTAGAAATTTCTGGCAGGGACATATAGAAAATCATTGAACTTATTATCAAGCTCTACAATCATATATATATATATATATATAGTTTTTAGGAAGTTATATCCCGTTAGGAAATTGAAACGAATGGTTGAATACATAAAATAATAATAAGAAATGCGATTAAAGTGTGATTAAATGTCAAGTAGCAAAACAAATAATGTCATAAACAGAATAGTTCATAGGATATGTAGATGTTAGAAGGAGGTGTAAAATTATAAGATGAATAGGCAGATAGATCGTTACACAATATGATGTGAAATTTGAGAGCATAGAATTGAATACTCTTAGACAAAATGATTTTGAAATGTTGGTTTGTAGGGATTTGATTGGTTACAGGATTTCATCATGATCTGACATTAGTTAGAGAACCATTGAAAAACCTGGGAGTACTGGACAGCTGTTTCGTGCTAGTTTAGGACTCTTCAACAATTCCGACCCCACACCGTGGGGTCCGAACCCAGGACCTTCTGGTTACAAGGCTATCTCGTAGACCATTGAGCCACTGGGAATGATTTAAAATGATAGGTAGGACAAGTGAAATAATACTGGAGACAGTTCGAATTGAGAATAATAATAATTGTAATAAGTGAAGAGTGTACAAACTGAATAAAAACAACGAAAAATAAGTAGAGTCAAAATATGAACGGGGATTATCATACTTTAGCATAGACTGATTAAGACCATGAGAGTCAGAGGGATCAAACAAACGTTTCTTGTATGCAGAGATATGGCCAAAGCTTCAACAGCAGAGATCAGTCGGAAACGTTTGTCACGTTAAGAAAATAGACAAACAACCGAAATTGAAAATAGCTTATTTCGTTAAACTTATCTGTATCCGTCTTTAAATTATTTTGCGAAGGTAAGCCAAGGAATCTATCGTCTCTGTCGAACTATGGAAAGTCATCCTAATTATGGCCCACATGATGACAGTTTGTTAACAGTATTAACTAACTGGAGTCACTGGTGAGATGAGGTTGTGATTAAAGGCGACATGCTGCAGATTTATTTTTGTGGGCTAATCGAATGGTCCAGAACCACCATTTGTTTACTTATTATTTATGCTGTCTTTACAATCGATTTATGAAGCATTTCATCCTAGAGTTAATACTAACCCGGACTTGTATCTGGAATCAAACAAAAGCGACACGAATTGTAGTAAAAATCTTCTATTATTTGGATTACCGAAATCCAGGCAGCAAGCGTATGTTTTTATAGTTTACAAATGAACTCAGATACATGTTAATAAACTTATATTTAGTTATTGTCCAACGTATGGCAGTAAACAATATTATCACAATATCGCAACATAGATTAACAAACATGTACTTTGTTACTGTCACACGTACAGAAATAATCAATAGAGTTAGCATACTGTAGATCAACTCAAGTTACTGTAAATACAATTAGAAAGTGAATGTACAAACTAGTATGAATGATTGTTTTATGAATGAATTAGATATGTGACTGTATACCTATTCAGCAAATGACATTATTCTTCGCAGTCACGACATATTCTCTCCATACATAATTGCTATGATGATTCCGTCTGGGGAAAGGATAATAATCTGGTGAGTAACCTCTTCATGCTTAGATATATAAATTCATATAGTGTTTGTTATTTATATTATCTTTTCGACTTATAACCAGACTTTTAATAATTCTATGCAAAATAATTCCTATCTCAGTCTTTGAATCTGAAAATGATATTTAAACATCCAGCTTTAGAAAGATTATTAGCATTTCATGTTATACTTTCTTCATCCACGGCACATCTCGTGAATGTTTATTTTTACCTGTCATAATGTAATGTAATTGTCAATCCATTTTGTTTTTAGGAAGACAAAGCTCTTGGACTTATTCCATTTTATGTAAGTTTCGATCTATATAGTTCTGTAACCGTGTGAGACCTATCTTACAAATGCATATCCTTGATGGTATTTCTGTTCCTCTAAGCAGATCTCCTGTTTTTCCCGAATTAAAGAATCAGGAGAATTTTATGTTTGATTAAGACTTGGAAACTAATAAATTAATGCGATAATGAGTGACTTACATGAATATCTAAGGTGTACACGTGGTAGTTAGAGTTTAGATAGCATTAAAGATCCAGTAGCATGCTTTCCGTTACTGCGTACTAGCCTAACAAACGCGTGTTTATAAACTGGTGCTTCTAATTGCTTCAGAATAGTACACGCGTTAATACCAAAAAAACAGTGCCAGCCAACCATATAGTTCCCAATTTAGTGATGATAACTCTTAATTCTGCTTAGTAGGTAAAAAAATGTATATTTAGAAAAAGTCAGAAGATTTTGAACATATTCAGTCTAAATTTGATAAGCAGTAAATATTTCTAAGTAGTTAACTTTGCTGCAGAACAATAAAGTGGGCAAAGTACCTGAGGATTGGAAGAAAGGATACTGATTCAAACTACTAAAGAAAGGAGACTTAAGTCAATGTAAAAACTGGCGTGGAATTATGCTCCTGTCCATCCCAAACAAAATATTAAGCCGCATCATCCTGGAGAGAATCAAACAAGCCCTAGATGAAAAACTTCGACAGGAACAAGCTGGATTCAGGAGAAACAAGTAATGTATTGATCAAATCACCACTCTATGGATCATCATTGAACAGAGCTTGGAATAGCAGTTACCTCTCTATCTCAACTTCGTTGACCTTGAGAAGGCCCTTGACAGCGTCTATTGAGAGGTGATTTGGCAACTACTTCGCTACTACGGGGTGCCATCGACAGTTATACATCTCATCCAACAGTTATACGACAATGCAGCATGCCAAGTAATCCACAACGGGAAACTTACGGAATCCTTCGAAGTGAGGACGGGAGTGAGGCAAGGCTGTCTATTATCGCCAATGATCTTCCTGATTGCAGTAGATTGGATAATGCGACAGACAACGGCAACCAACGAGGGAACAGGCATAAAATGGAATCACAAAAAAGACTTGGAGGATCTGAACTTCGCCCACGATGATATATGTCTGATTTCCCACAAACTGGAAGATATGCAGGTGAAAAGCGACAAGCTGGCAGAAGAAGCATCCATAGAAGATAGGATTTCAGGTGAACATAGAGAAAACAGAGGTGATGAAGATTCCTGGCCAACACCAACATCAACAACAACAACAGACAACAATCAGCCAGGATAAATGTGAGGAACCTGAAAGAAACAACCTTCTTCATCTGCCTACCTGGGAAGCATCGTTTCAACTACAGGTCGACAGAACTGACGAGGATATCAAAGCCAGAATAGGAAAACCAAGACAAGCTTTCATTACTCTTAAGTCTGTGTGGAGGTCAACAGCACTCAGCATCAAAAATAAGATCCGGATTTTCAACTCCAATGTGAAGTCAGTGCTACTATACGGACCAGAGACTTGGTGCGTCATAAAGAGCATCTTCAACAAACTTCAGACCTTCATCAACAGTTGTCTTCGCTAAATACTCAAGATCAGATGGCCAGAAAAGATCAGCAACATGGATCTCTGGTAATGAGCGAACCAACCAGGAACCGATTGTGAAACAAATAGGCAGGTAGAAATGGAGATGGATTGGCAGTTTATCTACCTAATCATCTTCAAACTCTGAGTAACTGTAATAGACTTAAATCTAGGGCCTTAATATCTGAGTATATCTTGTGAAATCAGTCACGTAACTTCAATCAGAAGACGATCAAGATAGAAAATAAAATAATCATAACGAAAGTCTCATCCTCAGTGGAGCAGAAATGTTGCAAACTATCACAGTTAGCTGTTTGTATCCAGAATTACATTCTAGCTTATATCCAAGCTAAATTTTCATTTTTATGAGAAAAACAAAATTTGATTGAAATTTAACTACTGTTTGCATTTTTAAGGTTTGTGCTACACTTGGAACAACGTCATGCTGTTCATTTGATCATTTAAAATCTATTGGGAAAGTTTGTCGTGAAAACAGTATTTGGTTACACATTGACGGTTCGTACGCAGGAAATGCGTTTATTTGTCCAGAATTTAGACACTATTTAGACGGAGTTGAAGTAAGTCTAATCTTTTTTGTCCTTAATTTATAATAGTCTTAACTCATATTCAAAATATCATCCTGATTTGTATCCAGTATTGTGTTTAGCAAATGTTTTAACATTCAATAAACGTATAATTGTGGTGGTGTGATACAGACAATGGGTTCCAACGGAATATTATTTTCACAGTTAGAATGATTGTATTTGTTGATGTTAACATCTGAACACTATTCCCACAGTTCAATACTGCATTAGCAACAAAATACTATACATATGCGAACATTCTATTTCATGTCGTATAGTGTAAACAAAAATAACGAGCTCAGTGATCGCTTAAAGAATATAAATATTACTGTACAATACTGTGCGATTTATCAAAATAAAATCTTATCCATAATGTAGTTATACCCTACCACGGTACCCAAGTTTTATACTTATGTCAATATAAATTGTGTATATAAATAGCGGCTTCGTAAATTGAAAATACGCCTTTACTTCCATGTGTTGCTTTCTGCTGTTACAATATTATCTAAGTATTGAATCACCCGTTAACATGGTGTCTCTTACTCTATTTCTGGGGTATTATATCCGTATGTATTATTTATTTTGTTATATCTATGACTAATACTCCCATTCATATCATCTTGATTAACGCTGCATTATTCTTACATATCAATTTAGGAAGACTACGGAACAATGGTTTGCTGCTGTAAAGTGTTCACTGTCATTTGTTTAAACCTTATTGTTGACGCTGACTGAATTCAGTCGGTTCACTTGACGATGTAGTCATCAGGCTAGGTGACTCTTCATTGTGATTCAGTTTGAACAGATGTTGGATGGTTGAAGGTAGGCTCTGAATTCGTGTCTGGAGGTTGTTGGTACATATCAACAAGGTACGTCTTGTGAACACCTTAAGGAGAAATTTTAGTATGTTTGGCATGCAATTCGCACCTATCAGCGGTAGGATAGTGCTGTAGGACTGGTCTAAGCCGATCCCTAGTTTAAGGACAGGGAGTGTAGTGTTTGATTGTGTTGATCACTTCACCTGTTTGAGAAGTTATGCCAACGTTATTAGACTGATTGTTAACACAATCTCAGTACGGATTCCAAAGGCTCATATGATATTTGTCATCTCTGAAGTAGACATGTTATCGAACTACTTACCAAAGGATGTGTCCATCGAGTTGCGGTTCTCTCTATTTTCCTTTGTGGTTATGAGATCTGACTGTTGAGATTGGAAGACATGAAGGAGCTAGCCGTTTTTAATTATAGATATTTTAGTTCTGTCTTCCATGTTCGGTAGTATAACACGTTGAGTAATATTGAAGTTCAGTGGGGATAGTTAGGTAATGAAGGAAAATCAGTTGATGAGGTTGGGTATCTACATAGACTGAGATGGCTAGTAACAGGTTTCACGGATGCCTAGCCACCCTCTTCCTCCTCGAGCAATGTAACATTACATAAAAGTAGGTTGTAAACCAGTTAGGAGTAATCAAATCAAAACCTGGAATCAATCCCTGAAGTCTTTGACTGTTTCTTTTTGTCCCATAGGAAGATACAGACTATCTGGATGGAGTCATCAAGATGCTAAGATCCAATGGGAGGAGACCGTTGACTGTAGGCGTATCTCATTGACGGAGATATACTCATTCTTTATAACATTTCAGATCCATTAAGTCGTAACGTTTCCATGTAATTATTCTTTTTCTTATAACTTTCCGTTTAGTTATACTCTCTGAATCTATGCGTGCTTTGTGAAGTATGGCAACATGAACTGCCGCGCTTTTGTGCACAGTTCTAAAATGAAGACTCAGTTTACTTTTCAGTAGCTGAGTTCCACCAACTCTAAGGACTGAGAAGAAAGAAATGCAACTCAGGAACTTCATATGTAATTACTGTTATAATAACTGGTCACCAGAATAAATGTAAGAACCGAATTTAGGCACTGTGGTAGGATGTAATTTCAGTTAGTAATACTGTATCACTGTGTGTTATATCAAGTAGACTTACCTAGTACCGAACGGGTTAGCAGAGATTGAAATCGTTAGCTAGTATTTGAAAAACTGAATTATTAGACCGATGAAATATCACTTCAAATTTAATGAAAAATAATGTGTGAGAGAGAGATGATAATGAATAACCCCAGAGCTGGGTTATGCATGGAAACCTAAACTATATACTGATTAAATAGAATCTAATCATAACACATTTGTCAGATTCAAGTACATTTGGTTTTACAGACTACTATGAAGTTATGTTTAGTGGATTGTATTGAGTTTTTGTGTATTCCTAAGCATTTATGTGAGCCGCAGTTATCACATATTTTTTATAAAACGAAGTGAAGTATCATCAATTACTCTTTTTCACCTCTGTTTCTTTTCATATTAGGATGCATGGTCATTCAATATAAATCCAAACAAGTGGATGTTAGTAGGCTATGACTGTAGCCTTATGTGGTTAGTTAACGAGTGTTATTTAAATAATTGGAAATTATGTTTTGAGCGATCTTTTATTTCATTCAAATAGCATACGATCATTAATGTAAGTGTAGAACTTGGGCACTGTGGTAGAATGTAATTCTATATAAGACAAGTTTATTTTAACAATTACACAGTGACGCAGTATTATACAGTCAACCTTGATAATCCATTTTAAAACTAAGGTGAGTGTATTCACCCTCTTCCTCTTCTTTTTCTTTCCCTATAAACTTACATCACCTTACTACCTTTGATCTCTTACCTTGACCCGTAGACACTTTGATCTATATTGTAATCATTTATGCTCTACTACCTTCTATATAAATGTGTATGTCAAGTAAGTATGTGGTCAGAATGTCTGAAATGTGTTGGGCGAATACATTGCACGTTTCAGAAAAGCTATTTCTTCTTATTGTTTTGTCGAAATACATAATATTGTGATTGAATTAGAATTTGAACATGTTAATAGGCTGTTCAGATGCGGTGATGTCAATGTGTCCAAATTCAGCTCCATTCATCATTCTGTGTGCGTCGGTGGCACAGCGGTTAGGACGCTCACCGAACATGCACTTGGTCCGGAGTTCGGTCCCCGACCGACGCACTCCTTTACCTCTCTAAGCCAGCAGTAAGACTGGTAAAGCGGAAAGGTTGGACATGAGGCTAGAAACTCCATCCTGTAAAAAATTAACACTGCTACAGACACTTCAAGTTTCTAGCTTGGAGCCCTATATTCCACAGGGAACATGAAGGAAAAAAAATGCTCAAAGAGTTTAGAAACATGCTTTATGGCATGAGCTGATTTTTTTTCAACTTGCATGCACTGTCAGTAATACCAGTCATTAGAGCATTGATATATGAACAACCTACTTCTACAATTGTGGAACCTGCTAACACTACTCTCCAGGATGCAATGAATAAACTGTGTAGTATTTTACTATATTCTCTTTGAAAATATGGCAAAATACTAGTGAAAATTATATATATATACATATGCATACATAATGAAATGTTTTAACTTTTTTGTAACTAAGGGTACGCAGTACGAAAGCTTTAACGGAATGTATGGTTGTCGATCCAATATATCTGCAATATGAACATGCTGGTAAGTGGAATTTCGCACTCTCATTATTGTGTTATATAAGAAATTACTGTAAATACATTCCTTGGAAGAAGGACTTATAGTTGGTGATTTTCAATTCAATTTTGAGTTTCCATTCAGCTGACTGAACCGAAATGTTCGGCGTATGTTGTCATGTCAGCTCCTGGTGAGGATGCTTTGAAGATGTTTGAGAATTAGGTTCAGTCTGTCAACGGGAAAGTCAAAATTGTATTAAAAATAAGTAATACTTGACACTGCATATTAATTTATTTATTAGATAGACCACACAGTGAAAGAGTATTATTTACTGGATGAGGTTTCGAACAAAATTTATTACTGTTCATAATCATTTCATTAATCATAGTCACACAACTTCGAAACTTCAGTTTTATAGTTTGCTTTATTCTTTCCCATTTGTCGTAGAGGTTGTAGAATTTTCCAGATATCTGGAACAGGTGTTGAATCATTCCTGTTACACGTGTTTGCAGTTGATTCCATAAATAAAGCTTCCGTTATGAATCTCTCCGTCTACCCTGTTACACTAGATTTTAAAACTGTCCTATTGTATGGTTGTGTGTGATTGCATGTAGTGCTATCTGCGGCTGAACTATTTTCCAGATTTCTTATCTTATTTGGGTCAGCTAATTTAGATATCGCTAGTTATTTATGTTCTGGTAGTCTGACTGACCTCGTGTTATTACTTTGACCTATGTATTTGGCCTGACAATCACTGCAGGGTAGTAGATAAAATAAATTGCTTTCGATACAGAAAGAAAGACCAGGTTTGCAGTTTAAAATGATATCATTCTATTTCACAGTTTCTCATCACCTGCAAACTGCCTGAAATTATGATGGTTATAAATAATAACATTTCATACTTCACTGTTTGAAAGGTAATAGAGAAAACATTATAAGATGAACGCATCCGGAATATAAGTATTACAATTTATAGTTTAAGTTACCATCAATTTGTATACTATCAAACTGTGAAAAAAAGAAGGGGGGTGAGAGAAGACAGAAAACAGAAAAATCTAATAAACAGCGTTAGCTTGTACGTCAACATGGCAACTCAAGGAGGTCAAAGTTCATCAATTTGAAAACTTGCTTAGTGAGGTGAGCTCACTAGTGTGTATGATTACTCAGTGTAATGAAAGTGATATAGTTATCAAGGGAGTCAGAGATTGACTACACACTCTTTCTGTGTGCATAAGTTAGTTCTGAGACGTTTGATTGCAATCATTTCAGCAAATCGTAGTAGATTCGCTGTCCGTTGTATGTTTGACAAAATGGTCCGTATCCATAAGGTGTCTAGTAATTGCACTTTGTAAATATCTGCTTCCTTTTAAGCATAAGTTTCTCGGAATATGCTCTGAAAACCGGATAGAAGCCTTTCTTTCTGTCCTTCCAATGTACTTGTTGCCGTAGGTGCACGTAAATTTATAAATGCAGTTGAAGGTAACATCAGTAGGGTACTTATACAGCTTCGAATGGCTTATAGAGCATGTAGTGCTGTATAGTGTCGCCAGCTTGTCTGCAGAGAAGCATCTCTTTATTGCTGCTTTCATCCTCTTTTCAATCTTTTGCGATACTGTTTTCCTGTATTTATAAGAATTTGCTAGTCTAAATCTTGAGTGGCTTTTAAGCGGATTTAATACCAAAGCTAAATATTTAGACAATTCATAAGTAATTGGATTTCTAAAATGAACTATAACAATCAGTTCAAAGGTATTTATTAGTACAGAACGTTAGTGTGTAAAAACTCAAAAGTGATTTAATAAGTGTTCCACCATAGTTAACAGTGATATAGTTAAGATATTTTACAGAATACAGAGGAAAGCTCCTTAAATTTTGGTTAGGTACTTAACTAGTTTAATTCAAATCTTAGAAGTGAGAGGCAGTGACTGTTTTGTCCAACTCACGAATAGCTCATATCACTTTCACTATGTTTTATAAAATTAGTCACGTGAAATAACTACTGTGTGAATTTTTGTCAATGAATGCTTATAGCTGTCAGGCCAACCAGTAGGCATAATACTGAATCATCTGTGAACTAAATATTTGAGCCTAGACTAAGCTAAAGTTTACATCGTACATATTTTGCTGGGATACTGTCAATCAATAAGACTACAGTTTTCTGTATTAGATTTGATTGTTAATGTGTAAAAATAATATTTTTGTCTTCAACCCGGTAGGAATACATCCTGTCCTTTCAGTTGGTCTTCTGAATCATCTCTCATGTGTGGAATTAGTATTGGAGTGGAAGCATGGCATAAGTAATTCCACTTGGTAACAAATCAGTTAGATAAAAACCGAAATCTTGTAGTGTGAGTTTTGTGATAAATAGTGTCACAATCTCTTTTTCGTTGATGTCAACTGTCTAGTGAATCGACGCAGAAGTGTTTAAGATAAATTACATACTGTTTTTGTTGCAAGCCTGATTATGGTAATGAATTTTATGGGTTTTGTGTAGGTTTATTTTAACACAACCACATTAGTATAACTGACCACTTAGCAGTGATTGTTCCCACACTAGAAAGACACAGAAGGCCAAATGGGATGCAAAGATTTATTTTCCCATGCAAAAGGCAGTGTAGCTAGAAATCACTACCATTTGTATTGATATTATTATTGTTCCCTTGGGTTCCTAGTGGAACATAGGGATTCAACTGCACGTCTGTCTTCTGCTGTGCTTTTCACCTGCATCTATGTTAGTTCATACTGTTTCAACTCCTCTTCACACGATCTCCTCCATGTCACTCTTGGACGGCCCACTCCCCGCTTCCCTTTTGGGTTCCACTTGAGTAATGACCTGACGCATGATGTCACCCAGTGGTCTCCTCAGAGAGTGTTCAATCCATCTCCACTTTCTCCTGCATATTTGTTGGGCGATTGGTTCTTGTTTTGTTTGTTCCCATAGTTTCTTGTGGGTGATTCTTTCCGGCTCGGCCATCTGATCTTCAGTATAGAGCGAAGACAGTTGTTAATAAACGTCTGCAACAGGCTGCTGGAAATATTCATTGTGACCCAACCGCCAAATTTCTGATCCGATCCGTATAGAAGAACTGACTGACTTGAAGTTTGTATTGAAAATCCGACCGAATTTTGTTGTTGATGCTGGCTGAGTGACGAAGATTTCCAGATTGGTTTCAGGTTGATGAATGTGTTTCTCGCCTTCCCGATTCTCGCTCGATTTGACATCCTCGTCCGTTCCGACTTCCTGTAGTTGAGACAATGCTCCCTAGATAAGTGAATGAAATAACCTCTTTCCAATCCCTCCCGTTGATGGTGATTGGCGCTGGATGTTGCTGCTGTTGTTGTTGATGATGGTTGGTTATTTTCATAACATCCGTCTTGTCTATGTTCACCTGTAGTTCTGTCTTCGCCGGCTGCTTCTTCGACCAGTTTGTCGGTTTTCGCTTGTAAGTCTTCGATTTTATGTGACATCGAACATAAATCATCCACACACGAAATCCAGGTCTTCTAGGTTCTTCACCTCGGTCCAGGATATCTCTGTCTTCTCGTTTCCTACTGTCTGACGCACAATCCAGTCCACCACAATTAGGAATATCATTAGTGGGTGGTAATAAGCACCCTTGTCTGACTCCTGTGTTTACTCCAAACGCCTCTCTGAGTTTTCCGTTGTGGATCACTTGACATATGCCGTTGTCGTACAGCTGTTGAATAAGGTTGATGAATATTTGGGGTACGCCGTAGTACTCGAGTAATTTCCAAATTACTTCGCGGTCAACGCTGTCGAAGGCCTTCTCGAAGTTTATAAAGTTGAGGTACAGGTTTGATTGCCATTCCATGCTTTTTTCTGTGATGATGAGTAGAGTTGCAATTTGGTCGGAACACGATTTTCCTTTCCAGAATCCAGCTTGTTCTGGTCGGAGTTCTGCATCCAGTGCGTCTTTTAATCTCTCCAGGATGATGCGACTCGGGATTTTACTTGGCGTCGACAGGAGCATGATTCCTCTCCAGTTCTTGCAGGGTCCTAAGTCGCCCTTCTTTGGTAGTTTCAAGAGGTAACCTTTCCTCCAGTCAGTAGGCACCTTTCCCTCCTTCCAGACCTTTTGCCATAATGGAGTCAGCATGTCTGCTGTAGTCTCTGGGTCTGCTTTCAGTGCTTCAGGGGGTGTTCCATCTGGTCCAGCTGCTTTTCCAGCTTTCAGAAGCTTGATTGCATTCAAGACTTCAGCTCTCGTTGGAGGATTGGTGTCAACTTGCAGTTGTGTACGTACTGTTGTTGGTATTTCTGGATGGGTCGCAGGTGGTGGTCGGTTCAAGAGTCCTTTGAAGTGATCCGCTCATTGTTTAATCTGTCTTTCTTCCTTGGTAATTGGGTTCCCTCGGCTGTCTTTTGTAGGTTTCACTTGTGTTGATCTCTTCGCGGATAGAGACTTGGTTATCTGATATAGTGTCCTCAGGTCCCTTTTGGCTGCTGCCTTTTCAGCTTCAGTGGCCAGGTTGTCGTAGAATTGTCTTTCGTCCTTCCTAGCACTCTCCTTCACTTCTTTGTCCAGTTCTGTGTACGTTGAGCTCAGCGTTTCCTTCTCTTTTCCGTCTTTGCATTGAATCATTTTCTCTTTCATCATTCTCCTCTACTCTATTAGCTTCCAAGTGTCCGTTGAGAGCCATTCCTTGTCTTCCTAAAACCGTTGAAAACATTTCGTTACAAATCACCTTCGGAGAGTTCCAATGTTCTTCCACGCATGATTCTTCCGTGATGTCGCGTAATGTTTCCTGCTTTGCTCTGACAGTTGCAGTGAAAGTATCTTTCAGTTTTTGAGTGTTGAACTTGCATTATGGCTTATCTCTAGCTATCCTCGAGGCTTTTAGCTTCACCTTGAAAGTCCCTTGCACAAGATAGAGGTCTGAACCCACATCTGCTCCTCTTCTCAATCTTGTGTTCAGTAGGCTCCGTGTCCACTTCCTTGAGATTGAAATGAACTCTATCTGGTTTTTGGTGTTTCCATCTGGTGAAATCCATGTTGTGTTGTGTATGTCCTTGTGTTTGAACATACTGCCACCAATCACTGTAACTGTATTTCAGGTAATTGGCAAATTGATTGAAAATTTCAATTCGTATGGAATCCTAAAGTTATAGTCAAAAGTAAGTGAAGTATATCAGTCGTATTAGCTGTCAGTGACAGTCTCCTAAGGAATTATGTTACTGGTTTGTTAAGCTCGAGAATTAATAAACTCTGTATCAGAGACATACCTTAGCGAAATGATCAAGTTTGTAAAAAACAATCGAAAATTCTATCGGCATGCCAAAAGTTCCTTTAAAAAAACTTTTGGAATCTGAAGACTGATTCACATGCTACACTGTAAAGTTTAATTTGGACTTTAGCTCTTAAAAATATTCAATTTACTTTTCAGTCTCTGGTAATTCAGTTTTACACTCTTACTTTGAAAGGTTATACAATATTGTTGTTTATTTTGCACGTAAATCCCTACAGCTTTTTCTAAATTTTATTTATTTATTTCTTCGAAATATTAAGTTAAAGCAGTTGACTTTCGGGTGAGTTCTCAGCATTGTACTTATTATATTTGTTAAAGTTGTTATATATATATATATATATATATATATATATATATATATATATATATATATACGTTTCTAAATTCCTAATAGAAACCATTTTCATATAATTTTCTCCCTGATAAACTTCAGAAAGCAGTAGCAACGAACGACTAGGAATAATGTCATGTCATTTTATTTCATCGCATCTTGTCGACTGAATACAGTCTTTCACCGTGCTAATATCAACATGTAAAATTATATCTTCGCTAACTAGCTTGAAAATGAAGACAGTTGATTCTACCTAGGTGAATACATCAAGAGTTGAAAAGATAAAAGAGGTGGCGTATATAGAAACAGTGGGCAAACGAATGAAGAGGTTTTGCATTTCGGAATGAATTCGTAATAGGTATTTAGACAATGATAAGTTTTATTTTTGCCAATAAATCAATCAAAATTACTATCCGTAATCTCATTGATTGTTGGAATTATTGTAACATTTATCTGAAATGTAAAAATTAACAGTACATGTTCTTTTGAAGTTGCATGGCTTAGATGATTCAGAATAATGAAAATGTAGTGAGCAGAAAGGTAAAGAGTCAAATGGGAAAGGAAATCGGATGATATTTTCAAACTGCATGCTATTAAAGTAACTAAAAAGGGAAGAATGATTATGATAAACTATGTTTGAAATGTTACAAAACTGCATCAATGTTCTGTTTATCAAATAGGAATATTCTCTTATGGATTGATACTCTAACACAGTGACCACAATCAATTCTAAAATCAGTTTGTTTATGCATATGCAGGTTTAGCCCTATTCGTTTAGCGTTCATTGCTTTGATGAGTTATAGCGAGGTGAAATTTACTTACACATTAATTATCTTAAATGAACTTTGTGATCACTCCTGCCAGTGATTACACTGTAGAATACATGCACTCTTTATTCGTTGTGTCCTTGGAACACGCTTGGAAATTAGGCAATAACTTTCTATTCGTCCAGTGTATGTGCTTTGGTTAGAGCTTATAGATTTTATGTAATTGGCGGTAGCATGAATAGGAAATTTTTATCTTTTTATCTTGGATTACCTAGCCGGATAAAATTGACTAATCTAGAATATGGATAGATGTTTCTCAGTACAGTATTTATTCTGTATTTCATTCTTCCAAATACTACGTTTTCTTAGCGCTCAAGCCTGAAAGAAACTGGTTTCATACCAGCTACGTCAGGGCATTTGTTGTCAACAGCAACTCTGGGTGTCTCTGTAGATGTTTATTTTGAATAACGTTTTTTAAGTGAGGTAGCAGAGTTTGTCACATATTTTAACGAAAAAAAACTGTTAAAAGTAAGACAATCCGCTAGGTGATTCATCACGATGGACATACCTTTGCATAATTCTGTTCGTAATTAGTGAAATTCAGAGATCCATTAAGTGGAGTTTTTCATTCTACTCTTTTCCCATGGCAAATTCTCTAGTCTTATAATCTAACCTATTAGACTGATCAAGAAGATCAGGAGAATCTCTAGGGTCATTAAAAATAACAGGTATGTCATCGGTGAAATGTCTTCTCATCTGCTACATGTTCACAAAGATATTTCCTAGGTCAAGTAATAAGAAACTATCTAATGAACCTTCACTAATCTAAAAATGTATGACGTTGTTTTAAGACGACTTATATATCCAGCGTAACATACAAAAATAACAAATGTGGGTTTTCACATTTTTCAAACATTGAAGTGATAAATGACGCACCCCTACATTTTGTTTGCCAGTGCATAATTTTTCCTTCACTTTAGTTTTTTATTCCTTTTTACGATGCACATAATTGTTATTTAATTTAATTAATTTACTTCAGTGATACCTTGCGTAATAAAAATTTATGTGTTATTTAAAAATTCCCTAACTCAGAAAATTCAGTAGTTCTATGTCGATTACTTCCAATGGTTGGATATAATCATTTAGGTGTTTTCACTTTCGAGTACTTACTGCTTCTGACATTCATGGTGCATGGTACACAAACTTTCACTTACTGATAGTCAGTCAGTAACTGAAATTTTGCAGATGTGATTTATCGGGATTATAATTTTGTCCTACTAACTGAATCATTCGAGGGAAAACGCATTATACTGATACGGATTTTTTTTATTTCAGCATTGGGGCATCCCATTAAGTCGAAGATTCAGAGCGCTTAAATTATGGTTTGTAATTCGAATATACGGTGCTTCAGGTTTGAGAAAATACATTAGAACGGTAAGTAGGACATTGTTTTTTTATTTAAGTTTCTATTTTCGTGTAGGTTGATTGGTTGGACCGAAGTGTTCGGTCTCTGCTGACATGTCCGCTCCGAGTATGTACGCTTAGACAATGTCTCAGGATTAACTTGAAGTAATTTGTTGGATGGTGATGTGCAGTGGATGGTTTAATTTTCTTTTGGTAAAGTGGTGAATGTACCAGAATATTAACGATTTCAAATACATGATGTTACAGAGTGTCACATGCGTATTAATTTCTCAAAAAGAATTCATTTACAAACCAAATTAATTTCTATTGTCTAGTAGATTACTCGGAAAATATCGGAGTAATTCTGATGAAGAAGCCGTGGCTAAATTGTGAGAAAAATCTTGTCTTGATATTCTAAACACTAACATTATTTTAAGAAACGTTTTAATGAATCCGTCTGACTCGGCTCTGTAATTATTCCAGGGAATTCGCAACATCTATAGTCTGGATATTTTTAGTCTTACAAATTACTTAGTTCAGTGAAACACCAGTCAATATTATTCCGTCTTTCGAATGTGAGTGGATCCTTTCAACAGAATTTTATGAGGATCCCTTAGAGTTTAGTTCTAGAAATCACTCATGATGTGTAGATAAAATGTTTTACTAAGGAAAACTTGCTATGGAAAAAAAGCTTTCAACACAGAACGCATGACGTTAAAGACTGTTTCCTCCTAAACGTTTATAGTTTCAGCTCTTATTACAGCTCGCACACTGATAGGCATATTACCTTATACAACTACACCATTTCCTCCAATAAAATAATCCTGTATTAACACAAAAAGGGAAATAAAGCTTGTGAAAGAAATTGAGCGCTTTCGTCATTCCTACTATCGTAGTGGTGCATTCAACAACAGACTCCTTTATCATCAAAGTTAGCTCGAAATTCTTTACTTTTTGGCATACTTTAATTTTGATAATTAAAAACCCATAATGTATTATTATCTTTTCTTATAGTAAAACACATTTGTCGTATATGTCATAATAATGGATGTCCTTACTAGTTTATTCTCTTAGTCTTTTTTTATTTATGCTACGCATAACCCGATGAAACATAACCCGTGAATATTAAATGAATGAAATCGAAGTAACTTCATGGAGATTAATTCACAGCTGACTATCAAAGTTTAATGCTGAAATAGTATTAGTGAGTTGGGTACTGAACTGTTTGTGATTACAATTTATGACTTTATTAGATATTAAGTTTCCTGATAAGAACTAGGTTAATGCAATGAAACGCAAGCAGTGAGTTCCTCTTGGATTTTATCATCACACAATCGCTGAAATTTAACTGCTGGATTATGAAACTGTGATAAAGGTTTGTTTTCCTCAGAGGCTGTATTTATTTGAAAAAGAATTATAGAGAACTGATTCTATGAGGTATTTCTTTGACAAATTTACTAATGTTGTCTTCCATATGTCAGGGTAAGTTTTGGTTTCTAGGAACATTGTGAATATTTTAAGCAGCAGTAGCGGAATGTCAGGGCCACCATATTTATAGAAGTAGGATGATATACCGTCGGTACCGAAACCTTTTGAACTTCTGAGGGTTCTTATAGTTTGGTTAATATTAGTGTAATTGAATTCAACAGTGCTAATTTGGTTTGGTGTGAGTGGAGTTGGAGTTTGTGCCATGTTAGTAATAGGGTGTATATCGAGTAGCTGGACTGAGGGCTTAAGGTAGTTACCTGCAAACGTTTTGTTGAATAGTTCACATATGTCTGCAGAGTTAGTGCATAGCCTGCCTTTGTCTATGAGGAGAGAAATGCTGTGATTTTTGCGATTCATTCGCTTCCTTAAGATTTCTGTGAGTGCATACACTCTAGCAGGGCTGGCTACTGCGATGCGTTCTTCCTTTCTCATACGGAAATCTTGAGCTTGTGTGATGGAGCTAAGGGTTTTAAGTATTAGACCTAGAGTGCCAAAGTCGTAGTGGTTTGAAGTAACTTGTTGAGAGTTTCTTCAGTTTCTTACGATCCTTTGGTTTTATGAATGACTTTCTGTGTGGGGAAACCTTTAGTGTTTGGAGTGGAATGACAGCATCTAAGCATATGTTTGAGTTATGGTAGAAGATGGTTAGGGCTCTCGATAGGTCATCAGTAGTGAAGTATTCATCCCATTTGGAGGATCTTAGCATCGATTCTACTAAGGCCCAGTTTGCCTTACTATAGTTCCTATGTATTACTTGTTGTGAAGTGGAGGTATGAGATGCATTGCTACTCAGCGGAATTGGCAGTGCACACATTACTGTTTTGTGGTTGCTCCCTGGGAACTCAGAACCTACTAGCGTTGAAAGGGGGCTTATATTGTGGCAGAAGATTAAGTCTAGTACGTTGTTACCTCTTGTGGGAGTAGTGACAGTTTGTTTCCAGCCAAGTATATCCAGTGTGCCTAAGAACTTATCAAATTTAGTTGGACCTGTGGGTATATCCCAGTTGATTTCAGGTAAGTTAAAGTCCCCACATAGGATCTTATGATCGTATTGTAAGTCGGTTAATTGCTCCAGAGTATTAATAAGTTGGGTCTCGTAATTACTAAAGGTGCCAGGTGCTCTGTAGGAGCATCCAATTAATGCTGTTACGTTATTTAAGTGTACATTAACCCATAGAGTCTCAGGCATGTTAAGTGTACTACTTTCTAGCTGTGATACAGTAAGTGCATTCAGAAAGTACATGAGACAACCCCCTCCCTTACCACCTTCCCTGTCACACCGAAAGTGTGTGTAGTTATCCAAGCTTATTTCTTCATCCAGAATGTCCGAATGACACCAAGATTCAGTGATGACAATTACAGGGGGTTTGTATATTACTGTGAGTGCTCTGAGCATCGGCAATTTATTTAGAACAGATCTAGCATTTATGAGGATTACGTAAAGATGAGAGTTGAAGTAGCATTTGAAGTATTTAAGTTCGTTAGTCAGCCCCGAATATGGTTCAGCACCCAGTAGTTCTGCTGGACATGACGATCCTATGTTAAGAGGAGTTCCAGCATCATGCTCACCTATGTCTATCGAGTTGTTGTGTGCTGTTTTCGGTGGAGAATTAGGAGTTGGAGTACTGGATTTGCTATAGACTAAGGAACTTTTATTTTTAGTTAGGTTACAGAAGTGGGTAGGGTTCTTTATTTGGCCTATACTTGTGCAAGTGTCAAGTGTGTCCAATGGATACGGGTGCACTAGACCGTTCCTGTTTTCATGCAAGGAGGGAGCCAGCACTAGTGGTTTAGGAGTGTTAACATCCCTACTAGCTGTTTTTTCAACGCTGACAGGGACGCGGGGGATAAAAAATGATTGGATCCTTGTGATGACCATGGCTTATTATTCCACCTATTGTTTGATGCTAGTTGTGTCCTTGTGTGGGTTTCGTGTGTACTGCATTTTGGGTTAGTTCCCAGCAGACTTGTACCATATATCCGGTCGAAATTTGTTTGTGTGCCATACTCTGAAGACCCTGAGTTGTTGGTAGCCGAGTTCTGACTATTACCACTTGTACTATTGAGGGTGACATCGTTGTGACATTGGATATTAGTGTGTGCCACGGTGCGATTTAGCACGTTGTGAGTGCTAATACTATTAACCGTGGGGAGTGTGGGCTTATTTAAGCTGCCACTGTTTTTGTTGGTATGATTTAGGGGCATATTTTCCTTATCTTTACCAATGGAATTATAGCTAGGAGAGGACAAAGTCGAATTTCGGGGGGTTTTAACTTTTTTTCTGGGGTTATTTAGTGGCATTTTAGATTCTGCGGTGATGGGTGGTATGGTTTTATTATTTATTTGGTTACAGTCTAGTGGCCTTTCAGCTGGTGTTGCACTCTGATGGGATAATTCTGTGTGTTTTGAGAGGGGTGATGCGGTGGGGTCTACTGTATCTTTCACAGGGTTGGGAATAATGGCTGCTTGCAATGTCCTATTACCTATTTCACAATTAGTCTTAGTGAGATAGTTGTGTGCGCGCCTTTCTATAACTGTTTTTTCCACCCCGACCTTTATGTGTTTGTAGTTTCTGGCTTGCGATAGGGTGTGTTGGGAGTGAATGAATTTTCTGGTCTCTGCCGGTGTTTCCAACTGAAAACGAATAGGACAACACTTTTCATGTTGACTCTTCTTCAGCCTGTAGCACTTAGTCTTGGAGTTAGGCATTTTCACTTCACTAAGTAAGATGCGCTGTACCTTTTTTAGTGCCTCATTGTCCGGAACGTTGTAGACAATAGCACTCAGTTTTGCGTCGAGTCGTTTTGTTACTTCTGTGGTAACAAAGTTAATGAGGTTATCTACCTTAGTTACCGATTCTGTGTCAAGCTTGTTAAGGTTTGCCGTTTTCATGAGGATAGTTAGAGGTGTCAGTTCACAGACCTGCGATCTGATATCGCTGATCTGATCTGATAATTTGGATATCTCGGTATTGGTTTCGATGTTTCCAGCATTTACTGACTTACTGTTTTTTATTTCCCTCAACTGGGGTAGTACTTGTGCAAGTACTACAACAAGATAAATTTTATGTAACGAATCACGTAAAAATGTAACGCAAACGTTGAACGTACCGCGATACAGATGTATTTATCGAAATAAATATTGTTTTAAAAATTTTGCACTATTAATACCTAGTGTTTGTCGAGTTGCAAAGTGATGCCAGTGTAGAAAACGTAATATTCGTAAAATGCCATATTTACACGTTGTTGAATGTGGTTACAGTGGGGGTACTGTTATCGCTTTTGAGTAATCGCTTTCTCTGGTAAATCTTAACCAGAAGGCATGCACAACTAAAGCCTATCTAATGAGTCACAGCATTTTATGATAACAAAATAATCAATGAAGTTCAGTGACATAATAATATAATAACAATATATATTCTCATTTTTGTACATGAAGGACGCCAGTTTACAGGCATCATCTATTCGATAAATTACACATAAGATTAGTAAGCATATTTAGTAAAGATAATATAACAAGGTACATATTTTTTCCTTGCTATGTAGGATACACCAATTGTAAAGGCATGCATAAATATTGTTTAAATTACATGATTTACGGTTGGTGTCATTTTGTCTTTAGTTTGTGGAAAATACCTGATAACTAGTGATTTAATAGACCACATCAGGAGATATAGGGATATTGACTTCGAATTAACAAAAAAACCAAATATACGTTGGATGGATTACAGATACTTGGGAAAATAAATGAAGCTTGAAGTCAATTTCCTAATATAACAATAAAATGAATCTTATAATAATATACCGTCTTTTAATGCACATGACAGCTGACAGGCATCATCAGTATGGTAATAATGTACACATGGAGTAAGCATGTTTAAAATCTTTCACTGACACAAGATATATATATACAAGGAAGGATAACGGAATAATGATAGTAAACACACTTTGCAAAAGTTAAAACAATTTATATGATATAATCCTAGGCACCATTATTGTTTGAATTTGTCAAAAATGCGCGTAACAACTGAGTGTTGCGTTACATTTGGTCGATATGGTGGGCTACTCACAAAAGTGTAAAAATGGCTTATAAAACGTCAGTTAGTTTACCATAAACGATGTTTTAAGCAACATAATCTGCAGAAGGCTCACCACA